CAAGCTCGGCGGCGGGCTGCGCAAGAGCAAGGAGAAAGACGGCGGGCTGAAGAATTCAAGCAAGAATCACTGCGCAAGGCCGCCGAAGAAAGCAAGAGGTCCAAAGAGCGTCAAGCTGAAGAGGAGCGAAGGAAAGCAGCCGAGTCTGCTTTCGACCTCAGAGCGAAACGGGAACGGGCGCGAAAGCAGGCGCAGAGCGAAATCAAGTATTGGCGAAATGCTCCTTGGACAACAGCCCGCGCCCTCGAACGCTACCGTAAGTTATGCGCAGCCTTCGACTCCTCGAATTTCATCCGCGGGGAGGCGGTCACTATTTTCGAGTCGATCCCCTGGCCGATGCTATCTCGCCCAGGCACGTTCGGGGTGGAGGACATCGACTGGGCATCAGTCGAGGCGTTCTTCTTGCATGTGCGGCATCATATTCCGTCGAAGGAATTCCGAGAGTTGGTGGAGAAGAGCCACAAGCGGTTCCATCCTGATAGATGGCGTTCGCGACGCGTATTGGCGAGTGTTGATGATGAAGAGGAAAAGGAATGTTTGGAGGTGGCTGCAAACACGGTAGCGCAGGCCCTCACGCCGCTCTGGCAAGAACTGACTGGACGATAAACACTGTATTTTATCATATTTTATGTGCTTTGAAGGAATATCAACCGGAATAACTGGAATACCCGGACCGCCAATGCTGTGTTCGAGCGGGTGCCTCGCGAAAGCAAGCCGCCGCCGCGTTTTCTGGCAAGTCCACTCTCTGTTTCGACTCTTCTGGACAACTCGAACATTCGCCGTCAAGATTCGCTTTTGCCTCGTCAATTCGATTTGCTGCGATCTCGCCGAAATCGTTGGGAAAGTTGGGTCGAAGGTGCTGTTTGGCTGTAATTGGGAAAGTGCCTAGGAGCCTGCGGATGTGACACGCCCCTGGAGCCTCGTCACCGCACGAATCTTCAGAGGCTGATCACCTCTGCCCGCGATGTCCTTTTCGTCCTTTTCGTCCTCGAGTCGTCGGCCGTCGAATACTAGAGTGGTGACTCTAAACTTTTCTTCGAATGTGAGACGGACTCGGACTGCGGGAGATGGTGACGCAGGCGTGGACGCTCGTGGAGGTCGGCGGTCAATAGGGGAACCCAATCGTCCTGTCCGTGCTCAAATTCAAGGCCAGAGACATCGGCGAGCGCAGACGTTTCCTATTCCTTCAAATCACATCCTTGGAACGCCCGGAAGCTCATCTTTCAGTACCTCGACGCTGGCGCCTGATCCTGCTCGGATCGCTGGTCCTTCAGGCTCACAGCCCATGCCCTCCTCACCACCCAGGCCTCCAGCAGTTCCTGCGAGCTCCTCTAGCACAGTGCAACCGAGGCCCGACTCGGGATATCCCCAGATGAACCCCGAGACGGAGAGGATCATGCGTGATTATCAGCGACGACAGGCGAGGACGTTTAGAGGGCGCTCTCGTCGTCTGCGGGCGTTCTTTGGGTACGGCGCGGGTAACCGGGCGCGTAAGGAGATCGTACAGCTCATATGGACACTAGTATTTGGTTTCATACAGGTGCGTACACGTTTCGCTACCAAGCAATTACGATTCCTAATACCCCATCAGTTCTCCGTGACAATTTCATTCCTCGCGCTTTCTGCCGCTCGAAGTAGTCCGCAAAATTCGTCCATCAGTGAATGGAAGGCTTGCAACAAGCCTCTTGGTGTATGGAATGCCCTATGGGCTGTGAAGGTGGTGTATGATTGTACTATGTCGTATTGGAGTTGGACGCGAGATCGCAAGCTCAGGTTCATGGAACAACAGTCCGTCTTTTAACATGCGTATCGTAAGGTCCTCGTACTAAGCCATGTTTAGGGAGCGTGAACGCGACGCTGAGTCTGGGAACAACAACCAAAATACGCAGGACAACGGGAATGGCGACCAGCCTGCAGTTCCCAACTCGATACTTCAAGAAATGGGTATCCCTGAAGAAACGCCTGCAGCGGTGGCTGCCCGAGAACGGAGAAGGCGACAAGCGTCGCTGCCGCTCACTACCGTATATCAAAGGTGAAACAGATCTTTGTCTGCATGACGAATTATCTAAACTAAAGCTTGTAGGCTCAATGTTTTGTTGTCGTTCTTTATCGTGACATGGTTCATAACTGCAAACATATTCATCTACTCGTCTCTCCGAACCTGTCGATTTTCTGCTCCTCATCTTTGGTGGTTGACTTTCAGCATCTTATCGATCCAATATTTCATGATCGCGGAGGTTTTTGCAGTCGCAATTATCGTATTTATCATAGGGCCCTTGGTATTCGTAAGTCGAGAGTTCCTGTTGCGAGAGTGAACTAACGATTTCGATTAGCTCTTCTGGAACATACTGCTTATATGCTTAGGGCGTCATCCGCTTCAAAATCCGCACTACATCAATCCTGAGATTGGGAAGCTGCCCAAGACGGTCGTAGAAAAGATTCCACTTGTACTATACATACCCCCACCCCCAGAGGAAGCGGAGGAGCAGAAAGCGAAGGAAGAGGAACCCACGCCGGAAGAAAACGCAGGGAACAAAGAGGCAGTAATAGTCGACGGCGCGCCTATCGAACCGGCGACCTACGTGGCGGAACAGGTAGAGCAACAAGAAGGCAAAGAACAAGAAACGCACACGTACCCGCCTTCGTCGCCTCCTCCACCACCTACTCTGACATCCAGAAGGTCTCGATTCTCATTGTTCGTGCGTCGGGCATCCAGGGCGGATTCGACATCGAAGACGGGGGAGCAGGAACAAACACCCCCGCAAGGCGCTTGGGAGGACACTTGGGAGCGCGGCGACGATCGTCTTCCGTTCATCCGTCTTGCTGGGAATCGAGCTGTATGCGCGGTCTGCCTGACCGACTTTGAAGCCCCAAAACGACGCGTCCCTCGGAATATTATTCGAGGGTGGAGTGCATCGTTTGGAAATCTGCTGAAGAGTGGAGGGGAGAGTAAACAAGATCCAGAGAAGGCAGACGGTCAGGAGGGTGAGGGAAGCGGCGAAGGTAAGGCGGAAAACGAGGACGCAGATGCTGCGATACAGGAGGTTCCAGTGGCAGCCGAGAGCGAAAATCCTCGAGAGTCGTTGAGACTCGTCGACGCTGGCGAAGGGCCACAACCTCTGCGATTGCTGCCTTGTGGTCACGTATTCCATGTAAGCACTGATTTTTTCATTTTCTAAGACATTCGAACTAAGACACACTTCCTTCCAGAAAACGTGCATCGATCCATGGCTCATCGACGTCTCCGGTCGCTGTCCTACATGTCAGAGACCGGTTGTGCTTCCAGAAACCTCATCAAAGAAAACTAGGGACCGTAATTAATGTTCGTAGCATTGCAACTCTGTATTATAAGACGACGTGTTTTGTATCTGCAATGGTAGCTTTCTCTTGTACTGAAGCTTGAAAACAACTTGAACGATCGCCGCCCGCCGATCATTGGCTAGCTGCCCATTGGTAGGCGTACGCGTGGGAAGTGGAGAAAGGCGTTCGTCGACGTGAACCGAGCGATCGTTGAACGGAACGCCCACCGTGCATGAGACTCGCTGAATAACTGGGTAAGTGTACATTTGTGTAGACGTCCCATAAGCTAACAAAAGTCGTTCAAATAGTCATGCCTGCAAAGAAGGCAACGGCCGCGAAGGAGAAGGAGAAATACTATGAAGTTGGTGAGCCAGAACGAGCTGGCTGCGGGGAAATGACGTTCTGATGGTCGGCTTATTGCTTCTGCTTCTTGCAGAGGAGATCCTGCAGGCTAGGTTGAGCTCGAAGAAGGATAGGAAATTGCACTGGGTGCGTTTACAGTGTTTTGAGTGTATAGCGTTGATACTAATTGTATGCAGGACTACAATGTGAAGGTGCGGTGGACGGACGAAGTCGAATCGTGTTCGCATTCCATGCTGCCAGTGATGCTCACCGTATGTTTTCTAGTGGAAAGGCTATACCGCAAAGGACAACACGTGAGTAGTTTGTCTTTTTGCACATAATCATAGTATATATCAGCTCTGTGCGCATTACAGCTGGGAATCGGAGGAGTCTTGCAAGGGGGCTCCTGACTGTGTGCGGACCTTCTGGAGGAAAGCCGACCTCAAAGGACGGAATCACCGCAATGTCAAGGACTTCAACAAGGATGACGTCGTAGGCTTGCTACCAAAGGGTAAAAAGCCGCCCGCGAAGCTCCCTGCGAAAGCGAAGGCGAAGTTGAAGGAATTGGAAGCCACGCCGAAAAAGTCTGCGAGCACCACGAGCAGGAGTGCGAAGGGAAGGCGGGCGAGTACGACGAGCGCTAGTACAAAAGCGAAAGGACCTCGAGCATCTCCAAGGAAGCGAAGACGTGCATCGGCTCGTGTGTAATTCTCTGTAATTTCTTGCTGTTATATTGTTACTTTATGTACAGTGCCTGACGATGCCGAAGGAAAATCGTCCGTGAATTTCAATGGGGGTCCCAAGTACCTGAATGCCTTAGGATGACTAAACTTGAGCGACTCATAAGTCGTCGACAGGAAAATGATTTTGGAGCACGAGCCATCCTTTCGTTGCTGAAGCACACGAATTCGCATTTCGAACGAGACTCTGATACTTGTTGATGAGTCTCGAGTGAAGAGTTCTATCAGACAGGACGAGAGGAGATACGAAACTGAAGACGCTGAGCTTCGTCGGAAATGATTCGTCATAGTACCTCGGTCGGTGCTGTTGCGCGGTGAATCGATAAGCATTGCATCTGCGATGCGACCCGTTTGAATTTCGTGGATGGAGAGTATGCGCGACCTTCGACGGGGTATCGGTAAAAAACATTACATTGTCGAGATATTGTTCCCTGCCTGGCAAACCTCCTCGGACACTTGTTGTTGATTCCACATTCTCCGTGGATCGCAAAAGTTCTCCCACCAATATAAGTAAGATAGAAGAGAGCCTTTGCGAGCAAAGCGAGCAATGGCTCGACTTCAAAAGGTGAAGCAAAGTGGTAAAATAAAAATGTGAAAAAAGTGTAAAATGGCATTTTTGTCGAGAGTGGGGTTCGAACCCACGCAACTTTCGTTACTGGGAGACAAGGAACAGACCAAACAATTACGTTGGTCAAATCTTAAATCCAGCGCCTTAGACCACTCGGCCATCTCGACCCTAAAACTCTTGAAACATGTGAATCTGTGTGCAGCGCCTAACCACTCGGCCATCTCGACACATTTAAAAAAGTCTTTGGAAAGAGTAAGGAAGAACATCAATAGTAAAAGACACATGAAATACAAGAATGTTATAAGCAGACATGAATGCTCGACATTCTGATCTCCCATCTTATTGTTTTGATCTGTACTCATGCAAGTAAGGATAGTACAATGCCATGTCCAGCCTCCAGGTTGCACATCTCACATCAGAAAGATATGATGTCATCTCCACAGACATGCCCTAAATGTCTCTAGAGTGTTCTTGGATAACTTAAGGCATCAGATACAGTGATACAGGGCCAACGAGAACAGAGGAAAGCTATAGGAAATTCAGATCATGGGTTTCTTTTCCTTTGGCCTTCTAGGTATGGGTTGAGCAGAGAAATGTCAAGTTCATCATCAATTGAATAGCTACCACTTGCATCTTATGCTTATGGTGCCACTTGCCTGCTATTTCTCATTCTTGAACTGACTTTCCTTATGAATCTAGCAGGATTTACATTCTGGGCTACCTTGTTCTAAGGTAAGTAAGACACAAG